CCAAAGAGCACGAGCAATATCCTGGTAGTTGGTAGTGGAGAATCTTCGGCTCCATGACACGCAATTGGCACCTAGCCAAGTAGTCATTGGGTCCTACATAATATCTCTCTCTCTATATATAAGCAAGGTCTGGTCGTGGAACGTCGCAGATACAAACGCGTCAGTCTTTTTTTTTCCGCCTCGGCAATTGACCATTATTACAAAGATAAGCTAGTCTTGACGTAGATCTACGGACATGTAATGAATTGTGCGCTGGTCTATGGAATCAAAAGTTGCCGTATGCTAGGCTCTACACAGCAACACAACTTTTTGGTAAACAATCGAGCTCATAGTATCTATAGTCTCTAGATCCATCCCTCACGAGTCTATAGTTTCTAGATCCATCCCTCATGGGTCTATAGTTTCTAGATCCATCCCTCAGGAGTCTATAGTTTCTAGATCTAGCCCTCATGGGTCTACTGAGTTTAGGTACTGCATAAGTCAGGTGACAGTTGACTATTTCTCCACTACATTTTGCACCTATATCATGAAAGTAAGCAACTCTGAGACCAGGAATCTGTTGTCATAGAGAAAGAGTCAGGTATAGATATCTCTATATTTGGTCACGACAGCTTGTTACCTCTCTCTGTGTCATGACGCCATGAGAAATAGAAAGACACACAACCATGTCGCCATCTCAGTGCTTTCTACTTCTAGTTCTACAGTTTTTTAAACAGTGAAAATGTGACTTCTTCTTCAGCTCACTCTTTGTTGTGAACTGTTCACTGTCACAAAAAGTTAAGATATGACAAGAAAGCACTGAGGTCGCGATGTGTAGTCTATCTCTGTAATAACAAATGCAAAGAAACACAGCCGTGGTAGAAGATGTGTAGTTTTATCTCTATAATGACAAATGCAAAGTCACAAAATTAGCATGATAACATATCAATCAAAAATCAACAGTTTGAAGGAGGTGTCCCAGTCTAGTCCGTGCTTCCCCCAAACCTGATGATAACTTACCACCAACATTCCCCCAAACCTGATAACTTACCACCAACATTAATGATAACTTACCACCAACATCGATGATAACTTACCACCAACATTAATGATAACTTACCACCAACATTCCCCCAAACCTGATAACTTACCACCAACATTAATGATAACTTACCACCAACATTCCCTCAAACATGATAACTTACCACCAATATTAATGATAACTTACCACCAACATTAATGATAACTTACCATCAACATAAATGATAACTTACCACTAACATTCCCTCAAACCTGATAACTTACCACCAACATAAATGATAACTTACCACCACATAAATGATAACTTACCACCAACATTCCCCCAAACCTGATAACTAACCACCAACATTCTCCATGTGGGTGGGGAGGGAATGATACTTTTTCAAACACATCCACTGAACCTGAAGCAAAAGGACAGGATTGGAATGACAGAAACACAGGGTTTGACATCAAGTGCCAGGACGGTTTCCATAAAAACATTTCAATTAAGTTTTGAATACATCTATGATATTTGTCAGAGCTGAGAATACTCCCTACAACTACAGAGAAAAGTTAGGATCCAACAACAAAGTTCACCTGCTGTCACACATCCTCCTTTGTAAATAACAAACAGCAACACATTTCTGTACAGTGCATCCAGTGCTCATTGACTCACACCAACAGCATGCTTATGGACGGATCAAATACTTGCTTGCTCAATAACAGTCCCCCACCAGGTTTCAACATTATCATACATACAAATTATATATATATATATAAATAGTATAATATAGAAATATAGAGGTTCACGAGCCATTATGCTACATACACAGGCTCACCTGGCAACATACGCAATATTAAAAGAGACCAAAGTTCCAATTAAAGAAATAAAAATCAAACAAATAAAGCAAAAGAAATATAAGAAGCAAAACTTCCAGCTGACATGCAAGTAGGAAAGAAGATAGGGCAAACTCCACCCACCCATACGTAACTCTACACACACTCTGTGCGTAACTCCACACACACACACACTCTGTACGTAACTCCACCCACACACTCTGTACGTAACTCCACACACACACACACACTCTGTACGTAACTCCACACACACTCTGTACGTAACTCCACACACACACACTCTATACGTAACTCCACACACACTCTGTACATAACTCCACACACACACTCTGTACGTAACTCCACACACACTCACACACACTCTGTACGTAACTCCACACACACACACACACACACACACACTCTGTACGTAATTTTTTTAAAAAAATTACCAATAGGGGCCTACCGCATAGAGCATGCTTCAGATTTTTCTCTTCAATACACAGACAACCGCTCTCTCTCTATCATATATATATTATGTGTACATGTTAAAGTATACATTAATGTGTGTATAAGTCATTTATAAAACATATATGGTATATATACA